CACACTGGCAGAAGGTTTATTTGTGCAGTTTCAATTCCACAAGCTGCAGATTTCTGCTTCATTTGAAAAAAAACAAACGTAGACTGCTAGTATAAAACATCAGCTCTGCCCGACTGCCGCTCGACACACGACCAGATATTGAAGCTCCCAGTGGTGGAATGTCTGCAGCCTGACTGTGACCTCTGACTCAATGAGGAGGTGAAACAGGAGGAGAGAGGAGATCACAGCATCAGAGTTTGTTTACCAGATACCTTTAAATAGACTCAGAGTCTGAGTGATCAGTGAACACAGTATGATCTTCTTTGAAATGTTAACTGATTCTGTTGCTCAAGCAGAACGGCCTTTAATCAATATCCGCGCAGTGCCAGCTCTGTTTTTCCTGGAAATGAATTCATTGCTATAACAACTAAACTGGCAACAGTAAAAAATGTTTTATATAACCAGAGACCAGGATCAATTGTTTTCTATCAAACGTATGAGGATGTGGTTGTTGATTTAATGTATTTGGCGGTTGTTAAATGCGTTGACACTGGAGCGCTGTCAGTGGGAAATTGTTCACACACACAAAATATCTGATTGCAGAACAACATGCTACTTGTTGTGACTCGGCTGTTGTGGTGATTCTGCTCAGGACCCTCACGGCTCCTGGTTTCAGGTCTGGGAAAGATCGCAACATTTTATACACAAAAAGATTAATTTAGATTAATGGAGGAAATAATCAGCAGATTAATCAACAATAAAAGTCACAATCTGCTGCTTTTCTCTAACCTATATGTTGTATAATGTTGTATAATAGTATGACAGTTTTTATATTGTTTGTGATGGATTTATTGCTGTAATGTTGCTTCTCTAATCTAATCTTTCACCTGGTTGAATAAAGGACTAAGTCTTTGTTATAAAGAATTCACTTTAACCCCAAAAACACCTAAAAATGTTTTGGTGCTGTGACTCTCAGCTTGGAGGAGGGAGGTGAAGGAGAGAGGAGGTGAAGGAGAGAGGAGGTAAAGGAGAGAGGAGGTGAAGGAGAGAGGAGGTGAAGGAGAGAGGAGAGAGGAGGTGAAGGAGAGAGGAGGTAAAGGAGAGAGGAGGTGAAGGAGAGAGGAGAGAGGAGGTGAAGGAGAGAGGAGGTGAAGGAGAGAGGAGGTGAAGGAGAGAGGAGGTACAGGAGAGAGGAAGTAAAGGAGAGAGGAGAGAGGAGGTGAAGGAGAGAGGAGATGAAGGAGAGAGGAGGTGAAGGAGAGAGGAGAGAGGAGGTGAAGGAGAGAAACTGAGACAAAGACAACAAGAGGAGACACAGTTATCTTTCCTGTGAATTGAAGTAAAGCTCTGATGAGACGACGCTGACAAACATGGACTGATGTTTCTGAGTCAGAGAGCGATTAGATATTAACGGCCGACTCTGACTGACCCCTGGAGGTGAAAGGTTAAAGGTCAGCCCTCTCTCCTGTCGGGGTGCTGCAGACTTCAGTGTGGATGGTAAACACACACACACACACACACACACACACACACACACACACACTGGCTTGCTGAAATCTCAGAGTTTTGATAAAGTGAAACTCTGAATTCACTCTGGAGATAAAAATCTTTCTTCAGTGATTCACTCCGTCCTCCAGCTACTAGAAATTATGAAATTCTTACTCGCTCCATTTACACAGGAATTATATAAACACATATATCAATCGCAATCTGGTTTGATTTAGATTGTGTGTTTGTGTGTGTGTGTTTGTGTGTGTGTTTGTGTGTGTGTTTGTGTGTGTGTGTTTGTGTGTGTGTGTGAGTGTGTGTGTTTGTGTGTGTGTGTGTGTGTGTGTGTGTGTGTGTGTGTGTGTGTTTGTGTGTGTGTGTGAGTGTTTGTGTGTGAGTGTGGGTGTGTGTGTGAGTGTGTGTGTGTGAGTGTGTGTGTTATTTTTCTTCTTCTTTTCTTCTGCTTTGATAAACATGAAGAACTCTCATTCAGTCATCTGCTTCAGTGTAAATGTCGACTTTAATATTCTGTTGAAATACATGAATGAATTAACACATTTCTCTCTTAACATTTTATATTCTTACGTTTATTGATTTATCTGTTCTCAAATGGAGCTGCAGGTAGAAACTAATCGATAAACTAATCGATAAATGATTTGGTTTATAAGTCCAACGTAAAGTCATGAAACGTCTTGTTTTGTTCGACCAATGAGGGAACGTTTTGGAGCTGATTTCTAATGTCTAACATCTAATACATTATATTTTACAATATCTGTTCATATGGAAGAACGTGCTCAAACACAAAATGATGCGTTTACTGTCACTTCATCTCCATCACTTACACAGACTACCAGAAACAACAGGGTGAAACGAAGCTACGCTCGATGTAAAAGTACAAGCAGAAGTTTAACGGTGTGTTGTACTTCAGGCAAGAACCACACAGAACTGCGATGCGTATGTTGTTACGATGCAGAGAGAGTTTCGCTCTGAACCTCAAACTCCATCTGGGAGAAATGTTTCTGTCAAAGAACAAAAGACGGGGAACTGATCGATCAAACGGAGACAGATGAAGCGACGCGGCATAATCGTCTTCAAAAGTGCAACGTTCACTTGGACAGTTCTCAACACAATAATCACATGTTTATTTAACTAATGATTCTTTATGGTTTGACCCAGAGGGGAGACTCCGGTCCTCGCTCATGTTTGGCACATGAACATGTTAGCCAACAGCACAGTGAAACCACTTTGGTTAAAGTCAAAGTTTAAGGTCGTTCAGTTCCAGAATTTAACATAGAATTTAATATGATTTACACACCGGCTCTGTGGAAGCCGTGACGGATTTACCCAACATTTAGAAAGCTAAATAAATCAGCTGTAAACTCGACATTCCTCCTGTCAGAGTTATGATTCATACGAGCTCCGACTTCTCAAACAGAAGCATTATTCACGCCGCCGCTCTCATTCTTCTGTAACATTTAAATGATGCTAATGATGACGAATGGAGACTCCCCACCCACACACAGACTCCTTTCAAAGATGTTTTCCTTCGCTAATCTGATTTCATGGATCAACATCACCTGCTGCACTGAAACCACTTCAATCTGCACATCAGCAGCAGCCTGACTGAGGGTTTAACTGTCAGCAGACGACAGAGGAACCGTCTGTAGAGATTACTGTAGTACTCCTCATCAAACACCTATCTGTGATCACTGCTGCACACCATGTGTCTGACCACTGTCCCCTGAGCTGCAGGACAGGTTCATGTTGATGTGTCAGTCAATTATAGAACAAAGCCGTCCTGTAAATGAGAATCTGTGCGACAATAAGAGCATTCTTTCTCATTATTTCCTCCAGCATGGTTCACGTGTGAATGGACCTTTGATCACAGATCAATAACAGAGTCACAGCCACAGACCAGCCGCTCTGCTCGTTAGCTCTACTAATGGAATTTTTTTTGATTTCATTGTTGAAAAATCTACATGGATGTCAATGTCAGTCTGTCCACTGGTCCAGGACTTCGTTCCAGACCGGATTATCTCTCCAGCTGTAGGTGACGACACTCATGGTCCTCAGAGGATGAATCCAAGTGAGTTTGAGAAACGGGTGAAACATTCAGGGGATCAACAGACTTATCCTGTAAAATATCTTCACATTATGTATGTATACGCTGGCTAACCGCCGCACTGACGCTGCCTTCAGAGTGACGTCCGGGTCTGAACGTCTGGCATCACCCTCCCTGCTCAGTCCAGACTGCTCAGGTGAAAAGACGTGACAGGTGAAACCATTCTCTTCTCAGGACAACAGTGCAGTTTACAGTGACAGGAGATGTAGTGCAGAAGGAACTGAACGTCGCAAATTGTAGGAAAATGGGTAAAAAGAGAGAGTGTAGAAATTGTTACTCAGACCTTCATCAGACGTCAGTTTACTGGAATAAACACTCAGTTTTAAGGGCTGAAGACTCTTAATGATGCTGCACATCTCTATGAAGCGGTCAGTTAAGTTAATGACCTCGCGCAGCAAGAATGTTCTGCAGAATAGATGCAGGAAAATGGAGCAACAAGGTTTCACGGCGGCTTGTGTTATGCACTGTATAGTTAGAGCTGTAGCGCAACAGATGGAAGAATTATAGTTTGTTAGGAGGAAACACTCACTGCTTTCTCCTGATTGAAACCAGCTGCCACTCATCCAGAGTCATAACCCCAAACTTTGATCTCTGAGCTGTTAAACTCTACAACAACACACACACACACACACACACACACACACACACACACACGAACACACACACACACACACACTTTGTTCTATGTCACCTTTGGGGACATTACAAAGACATGTATTTGCTGTGGAAACTTGCTCTAACCATAACCACTACATGCTGAACCTGAACCGTTCCCCATAACCTCAACCACTGACCCAAAAACAAGCTTTTTCCCGGTTGGGGACGCAGCTTCTGCCTCTAATTGCACAAGATGGCCCCAATTAACTGGTCTTTAGTCTGAAATTCGTCCCCAAAAGAAACACAAACACACACACACACACACACACACACACACACACACACACACACACACATACAGCTGCTGAAGCTATTGTAGTGTGTGTTGAAAGAATCATGAGTCACAGTTCTCATCTGTGTCCAACACTTGAACTGTCCAGGGCAGAGCATCCATCTACAGCATGTCGCAACACACACACACACACACACACACACACACGTATGTTGTATCAATAGTCCAACACACTCTGCTCCTCTCTCTTCAGTCCTGTTCGGGCTCGTTCTCCTGAAGAGTTTGTGTTTTCATCGAAACACTTCAGAGTAGAAATAAAAACTTCAACATACTTTCTCCTGAACTTTACCGTTTGGTCTGAAGCAGGTTCTCAGTGAACGTCAAACGTACCGAAACATTCATGAACTCTTTCATCTGCCCTCAGCACAGTGCACGTGTTTCTCTTTAACTGTCACCCTACTTGTCTTTGTGAGATGTGTGGACTCCACGCAAGAGGAAAAAAGAAGCTTGTTGCTCTCTTACCTTCTGCAGCCACTGCGTGTTGTTCTCCATCGTGTTCTCCAGGTGCTGCAGTTTCTGAGCCGACCAGTCACCGTCTATCGGCGGCGAGTCTCTTTGCACGACACTCGTCCTGCCGCGGGAGCCGCCGTATGGTTCGGTCTGTGCCGGCGATCCTCCGGCCTGGCATCCGTCCAGCTCCGGGAGGATGAAGGTGTAGCTGCACTGGCCATGTTGGATGCGGTGGTACCTCTTTTTCTTCTCTGCGCCTCCTCCGCCTCCTCTCCTCTGGCTTCTTCCAGCTCCTCCTCGTTCTGTGCTCGTGACACCGGCTGATTCAGCGACGGCTGTCAGGGTCCAAAGCAGCAGGAGGACCAGCGACCAGCGGCTGAGACTTACGCCCTGCATGACGCTCTTTATATGAAAGTGTTTTCTCTCAGTGCCAAGAGGGTCAAGAGAAGCTCGTTCACGCTTTGACCCCAATTCACTTTATGAAAACATCTGTGTGCAGGACGCATGCACGAGCCTCTGCACCTACCACTCAATCCATGAGGTCCGACCCTGCACCACGTCTCTCCAGCCTCTTCTCCTAAACGTCAGGAGATCACTCTTCTTCAGAAGCACAAATGCAGTGTTGGTGAGTTGGTCAATACCTGGGATTCATCTCTTCCCTTCCTCTCCTCCTTGAGTCTTGGTTTGTTCTCTGTGGTTGAGTTCGTGTCGTTGATAAAAGGTTTTTTTCAGGACGGATCCATTGGTTTGACCCTTCAGGACACTCCCTCCGGTCCTCAGTGAACCAGGTGCAGGTCCAGACCGTCTCAGGAAAACAGGGATGGAGGGAAAGCTAAGAAGATTTTTTAAAAAAGAGCGGGAAAAAGGGGAGAAGAAATGATTTGAGGATGGGGAACAGTGAATGAACTGATTTAGAAAGTAAAGGAGATGTTTAAAAGGCAAGCTGAGTCATTACATTTAAGGCATGTAAATGAAGTGTATCTTTAAATCCTCAAATGTCCAGGAATAAAATAATAAAGAAGAGGGGGAAAATACAATCTTTTTTTCTTCCCATCCTCTCCTGGTGGCTCCAGTTTCAGAAGTGGCCGTAGAGAAATAATTCTGCCCCTTTCTTATCTGGGGCTGGCTGAGAAAAGGAGGAATGAGTGAGGGAGGGAGGAGGGGGGAGGAGGAGAGATGGAGGAGGAGAGGGAGGAGTGGAGGGACAGGAGACCTGAGGGAGGTCTATTAGCGTACCCTCTCTATTTGTGGGCTGAGAGGAAAAGAAAGGAAACAGAGGAAGGAAGGAATGAGAGGCAGCCAGAAAAAGTAGAAAGGGGAAGATTAAGGGAGGGAAAAAGAGAGAGAGGGGGGAGGTAAATGATAAGAGGAATAGACAAACACTGAGACAGAGAGGGCAGAAAGGGAAACTTAAATGTTGACAGACAGATGAAAAGAAATGGGCAGAGAGAAGAAGAAAGAGACGTCTAAATGGGGTTTAGTAGCTGCTGTAATCTTCCTCTCTGACTGAAGTAAATCCCAGAGCCTTGTATGGTCATTCATACTGAGTCAGCAACTGGAAGCTAGAGATTTTACTTTGTCCTCTAAACACAGCCATGCCCTGGGGCATCGTGGGAGATCAGGGGGCCGAGGTCAAACCACGCGGTGGCTGTACATTGGGTTCAAGAAGCGTCGGACTGTGTGTGTCGCAGGAGGTACCTTCTCTCTGCCTCACGTCTGTCCTGCTGCTCCACATGGAAATACATACAGAGATTAGTTCCAGACAGATGGCTTGGTCCCAGGCTTATGAAACACGAGCTCTACATGTGGTGGGACAATGTGAGATGTCAATTATTAGGTTTATTTGCGTAGCGATAAACTGTTCTGCAGAAGCTAATTGATATAAATACAGATGAAATACTTTTACAGAGAGATAAGAGACACACTTTAGATTTTAAAGTGACATCTCAACTTAAATCAGATGGATTGTGTTACTGCACCATCCTCTGATCAAAGAGGACACGAACCATCATTTTATCACCACCCACATATTTACTTAGACATAATGGAGTCGATTTTTCAGCACGGCCTGACCTCCGTCTACTGTTACTGCTCTGCTGCAGCAATACGTCTTAGTTTTGGCGGAGCTGGGTCGCTCTCTTAATGTTAGCCAATTGGTCCTTTGGGGGAAAGCAGAGAGGTTACACAGCGAATGGCTTCTGCCCCAAACAGAGATCATTCTCATGGGAACAGGAGTGGACAGAGAGCCTGGTGCACAGAGCTGCAACACATAGAGCTGCTGTTCCTCTCATTGCATCGTTTCTATTGGTGTTTTGAAATGTTTGATTGCGTGCAACAGGCTTTAATTAACATCCTTTTTGCATGTGTTAGTGATGATATCTTAATGAGCTATGGTCCAGACACTGCCGCACAATATTCTGATTGTGTCTGAAAACACAGAAGAGCAGCAATAAAACACAATAACTACGTACAAAATGTGTAAAGATTAATCAAAGCCATCAGAAAGAAATAATTCAAAAATTGATGATGACAAGATCCAACCCTGTCTCCTAAAAATTAAGTTTTATAAAACTAAACAGCAAGAGCTAATTCAGTTTGTATAAAATGTATAAGCTTCATGAAACTGTTGTGTGGTTCTGTTCTGACTCTCACGGCTCCTGGTTCAGGTCTGGGAAAGATCCTGGTCCGGTTTAATACAGAAAAAGTTCATGTGACTTTAAACACAACCTGTTTATTTATATTTGACTGAACCACCATCTTTCACCAACCTCCACCCTTAAAGAAGATAACCCGGCCAGCGATTATGTTTCTTACATCACATACAGTATTTGCTGTTGCTGTCTATCTGTACTCAGTCAGTCCGGCTGTGGTGAACACATTTTTACAAAGGTTGTTATTAAAGACTCTCTGATGTAAATCAATTGTTTCACCTTGTTAACGTCCATATGATGTTTTTATATAATACAAGACGTGATCATCAACACCATGACTGAGTGTTTCCTCCTTGAACGGCAGTGAACCAATCACAGCTTCATAAAAACAGATTCAGGGTTTACGTCACAAACCTAAGGAACCAATCCTGTCACCTTGTGGAGACGAGGGACGGGGGGCGGGGCTAAATACACCTGAAACCTCGTCAGTATAGAGAGAGCGAGAGTTAGCATTAGCACATCCGCTAACACTGTGTCGGCCACTGCCAGTTACAAGCTAATAAACAGCATAAACAAATAACAGATGCTAACTATGCTAACGGTTCTGATCGTCTGCTAGTCTCTGGTTCTGGTCTCAACAGACTCCTCCTCTGAGTCTGGGTCTGACTGAGGCTCAAACATGTGGCTGAGTCTCTCTGATGTTTCCTCCTCTGACCATCTTCTTACTCTCTGCTCTTTCACCTGTCCACCTGGAGCCAGCAGGTGGTGGGCGGGGCTTAAGGCCTGATCCAGGTTTATCAACCAGGAAGTAAGAGGAAATGAAAACAAAAAAAATAAAGAAAATACGAATCATATCAGAGGATTTTTACAGTTTAAAACATGTCTGGAGGAACTCAGGTTAATGGATTATTTAAGTTGGGCTCTTCTCAGCTGATAAAGTGAGACTCCAGCCTCCTTCAACCTCCATGTTGGTTCTACATGTGGTGGAGACGTGTGTGTCACGTCAGCTATGAAGCCTCTCTGCTGCAGAACACAGAGTGTCCAGACACTGACGACGACTTAACAGAGAAAGTTCTTGTTTCTCGTCACATTTCAGTAGAAGTTTGATGAAGTTATTGAATGTGTGTATGTGTGTGACTGCATTACAAAATCTCATCTGTGGCCATCTTTGGATGCTGGGCAGGATTAGAGCGACATGCCATGAGATATTTCTATCCTGCTCGGTTCTGTGTGCTGGTGGTGTCTGTGCTGTCGTCCATTCAGGCTGATATCAGGAATAACAGAGGGCACATGAGTCATGAACCGGCCCTTTCACCTTCCCTCTGTGGGAATGGACAGATGGATAAGGACATGTTTTTTTGTTCTTTTTTTATTCCAGGATTTGATTTCAGTGACGTCTCTTTTTTTGTCCCTTTTCTAAATTGGATGTTTGTCTTTCGTGTCCAGGATCTGGCTACACTCCTCTTTCTCCTCCTTCACTGTTGGACACGTTTACCACATCAGGGTTTGGTAGTTTGGTCGTCGAGTGACTGTTCTCTCACTGTTCTTGTTAAGTAGAAACCAAAGTGTTCACATTTCTGAGCTAGAAAGGGGGGGTTTAATTTCTTCCAATAAACAATGTGCTTGTTGCTTGTATTCCACACTGACTTCTCATCATGTATTCACTGTGTTTTCATGTTATTTTTAATTCTATCATTTACTTGCTTTTAAATATCTAAAGTTACTTAGAAATATTGTTTTTCTTTCATGTGTCAGGACAAAAAAAAAGATTCAGATAAAGTGGCACAGAGAGAGAGGAGCTGACGAGGGGGTGAAAGAAGAAGCTGTAAAACATAAAATGTGGAGGACTGTGGAGGCAAAAAGATTCAGAGTGAAAGACAGATCTAGACAGACGGAGAGAAGGGTTCAGAGAAAGATTTCCTGTCTTGAGGTTTCAGATGACAGAGAAAAAAATAACCATCTTGGCTCTAATAAAGTTCAACTGTGACCAAAATCTGCAGAATCAATCACTGCCCTTCAAAGAAGAAGCTTAGCTTCTCTGGAGCGCAACGTGAAGCGGAGAGGAGCAGATTAACTGGAGGAAACATCCACTCAACTTTAACGTTCAGCAAACTTCACTAAAAACCTTTTTTTCTGTATATGTAGGTAAACATGTAATGTATCATGAAAAGCATTAGAGTTACAGAATGCATCAGACAGCAGGTAAAACCCACTGCTCTGTTTTCATAGAAGTCCAGACATGAAGGGGGGGGGGGGATTCAGTCGACCTAAAACTGAGAAGACCTCTGAAGAAATGTGTGCAGCCAGCACAACACCAGTTTGTGCCACTTGTGTGTTGTTGCACTCAATTTCATTTCAGCACACAAAACAGCACCCGACATGTAAACGAAACAATCTTTTCACCTAGAACTGACATTTACACACAACTAAACTACAACAGCACGGCCGACGCTAGAACAGCTCTGTGGTTCGGCTCGGTTGAGGGAAAGATGTGGTTTTGGTTACATGTAAATAAACAGGTTGTGTCTAAAGTCACATGAACTTTCTCTGCATTAAATCAAACCAGGATCTTTGTCAGACCTGAACCAGGAGCTGTGAGTCTGAACACAGCTGGAGTCACTACAGGTGGAGATTGTTCTTCATTGATCCTCATTACATTGATAGAAACAATCAGATTTCATATGAATTGTATTTGCTTTTGCAGTTGAGTTGTATAGAAAAATGATTTTAAAGGACACGGGGCTG